GTCGGTGGGTGGGGGCGGCCCCTCGAGCCCCCTCAGCCTGCGGCGCGCTGGGCCCGGCGCGTCTCCCGTGGCTTCTGCCGGCCCTGTCGGCTCCTCACAGCCGCCCCGGAGCGAAACGCGGGCCGGGCAAGCGAGGAGGGGCGTGTACGCTGGCCGTCGCCGCTTGCCTTCTCCTCCCGGACCCGACTGCTGGGACGCTCTTCTGGGGGCTGTGGTGTGAGGTGAGTTAGACAGGGGAATCTCCCCAGAGCCTCCTCCGCCTTTCGGTGAGGTGGGACAGCGTTCCAGTGTGTACCTCATACACTCTAGCAAAACTGCACAGGCAACTGAGGTCGGGTCCCTGAGGCGCCCGTATTCCCCCGTTCTCTTGGCATGCCAGCCCCTTTTGAGTGAGAGCTTAGGTGTCTGAGGAGGAGGCAAGAGCTTAATCAGCTGCGTGGATCCAGCCTTCGGAAACGAACCAATTCATGCTCCTCTTCTGCCAATACGTGCTCGCGTTTTTGAGTATGGTAGTTGCAGCACCCGGGGTTAGCTGTGCCCTTGTGGTCTCCCAGCCAAGCGCTGTTGCAAATGATGGTGTTAGCCGAGATCTGCCGAGAATGCTATGTGAGAGGGTAAGGCTGCAAGGCCCTTTGGCCAGTTCTGACTGATGCGATTGTTTAAATAGCTGCAAGAATATTTTTATGGCTCCTAATAAACTGCTGGGAATTGTTATGAACACAAAAGTAATGTGGTTTTGGTTAATAAAAAACCTGAAATGCTATGTTTTTCTTTCCAGGAACTTCCGCTGTGACTGTGGAAATAGCAAGTTCAAAAATCTGCAGTGCAAGTTACTCCCAGTAAGTTCAGACATAGGTTTCATACATACAGAATCAAAATAACAGTCTTGGGAGGTCGGTGCCTTGCCTCAGCCAGTGCTGACTCATGCGATGCTTCTGCTTTTCCCAGCAAGTCAAACAAGGCAGGAGTATTACAGCAGGAGATAAAACTGTTGAGGGACCAAAGGGAAATGTTGAGAGGAGAGAGAATGTTTGATCCTTGTCATCCATGAATGCAGCAGTTCTGCATCCATTGTCAGTGTATGTCAGAAACATGTCGTGGTGCCTGTGCTAATTATCTCATTAGCTTTAAGCTGGCTTCAGGAGAACCTTTTAGGGTGCGATTTTGCAGTTACATTAAGGAAATTTGGGGTTGTGCTGCTGTCAAAGGGACAGTCTCCTCCCCTTCTTCGTGGTGGCATTAGTGCCCTGATCTTTTTTGATAGGTTGTCACCAGAGCCTACTGATGGGATAGTTTTTTACTGTATCAAGCCCCCTGTGCTTTCATACTGGGTGGGCATTTTGGACTCGTTAAGTAATCGGTAATCTTCTGGGAAGCAGTGACAGGAAGCTGCTTGGCTTGCCTGCAGTGCTGCTCCCAGGGTAGTAACAGTCCAGATGTAGAAACAGCAAGTGGTTTTGTGTATGCCCATTTTGTCCTGGCAGGACTGGGATGGATCCAGAGCTAGTCAGCCTAGGGCTACAGTCGAGTGATACCCACAGAGACACCTGTGACAATTTTAAGATGTTACTGTTTCTCATTTGAGTCAATGAAATGGATCACGTGGTTGTTCCTCCTTCAGTTCAGTGCAAAATCAATTGTACAGGTTAAGTGACCTTCAGCATCCATCCATTAATCTGGCTGATTTAATGGATGCCAGTGCTCGCATTGTCCATTCTTCCTTTGTCAGAATAGTGGTAGAAGACGTTTTGTAGTAACATCATAAATGGTCACAGCTGTTTCTGCAGGGGCTGATGGTGGCCTTAGGCTGCAACTACGTGCAGTTCTGAAGCCCTCTGGCTGCAGCTGTATTAGCTGTTTTTTTTTAAATGGGATTACCTGTAATTGAATTTCATTCAGCATGTTTTGTAATTTAGATAATCCTCTCCTGTAGAGTGAGACTTATATGACATGAATTTAGTGGAAGCTTGGTGGTAAGATGAAACAAAGTTGGGTTTGGATCACAATCTGGATGTTTAATAAAAAAAACGGAGGGGAAGGTGCACAATAAATTGACAGATGTTGCTATAATGGCAGCAGGCGGGTGTGATTGGTGATCAAGACTCTTATATTGTTTTGGATTAGCAGTAGCTTAACAAACACCACAGTTGCCATTTGTTACAAAGTTGGAAAGACTGTTTTTCCTCTTCCTTTTGAACTTCAGTATTCCTCAAGTGCCCTATCTGCTGCTTGCTGTATAGAATAGGCATCTGGATAATATCTTTCTTTTTGGATTTTCACGCTGATGAGTATAGTGATTGCTTTTAGGAATTAAAGTGGAACAGGAATTGGGTTTCTCTAGATTATATGTATTTTCTGTCTTTCGTTTTTCACTGCATTGTCTATTGAGACTTTGTTTTCCTTTTCTCCTAGGAGAAGGGCAAAGTGAATTCAGGAAATAAGTATAATGACAATTTCTATGGATTATACTGTACTTGTAAAAGACCTTATCCTGATCCTGAAGATGAGGTAAGAAATACAAAAAACCAGGGGTATTCACGTATAGATGGTATTTATGCAAAATTGTGCAAAGGGCGGTCACTGAACTGCTTTACAAGGAAGATCCCACTTTAAGAAATCATATGTTCCATATTGCTTTTGGTTGTCATGTGCTGTATAAAATAATTACTTTATCAGGTTTTTTTTTAAATGGTAGAATATGTTTATGTCTTAAGGACAAACCATCATTTGGACAAAACGCTGCTGCAGTTCTCTCTGCTTTCCTCTCTCTAAAGTTACAGAGTTCCCTTAGGGGGTGGGTTTCTCATCATCTTGAGGAATGTGGCAAGCGCAGAATAAACACATTGCACATGTTAGGAGAGACTAGAATCTGCTTCCTTGTGCCTGCAACAGTGCTCTGACAAGGCTTGTGGGATGGGAGAGTCTGTCCTGTAGCGCTGGCTTTAGCTTTCCTTTACAATAGTCAGAATGCTTTTTCTCTGTCTGAAGTATTAAAATATACCACTTGGTTTGCACACACACACTTTTGTTTGCAGTCATGGAAGTTAGTTGTTTTTAAAGAATAAGGAAGGCACAAGTCTTTCAAATACAAAAAAGTATTTTATGAACTCAGCTCTCTGAAGTTCAGAGATAGCTAGACATTTCTAAAGAAATCATTAATAATTGTTTCATAGCAAAGCAGTTTGTACTGTACTGCATTGTGGACAGTTAAGTTAGGATTCTGGCACCCCTGTATAAACCTGATGACATCATGAATATCAATACCTTTCTTTTGCTAAGCTGCCTGTTCATGCATTTCTGTTCACAGGAGGAAAGATATTGATAGTGTATTAACTTGTATCAGCTCTTCTGTGTGAGAATGTCTTGTTCTACTGGGAAAACTAGTTTTGTAATAATAAGTGGGAATTTCCACAGTCTTGATAATACAACAAATTACATATGAACTTCAGGGAAGCAAACTGACTAATGAAGCAGTAACTACTTATTAATGGCAGCTTCCTGTGTGTGGGTAAAGAGGGAAGTGCAATTCACTTCAGCAGACTTTGCATAATACTGCAGTTTGAGGCTTGTGAAAGATTCTGGCTGTCGCTATTAGTGCTAATAATATGACCGTTCATCTAGATTCCAGATGAGATGATCCAATGCATAGTTTGTGAAGACTGGTTCCATGGAAGGGTAAGGAAACTTATAAGTAGCAGAATTTCCATTTGCATAGAAATAAGTTACTGTCGGTCAAGTTTGTATGGTTGTTCTTACTTGGGAAGGTTTGCTGTAGTTCTCAAAAGATTAGTACATGAGTTCTAAGGTATTTCTTTTCATCCTATGCAAAGGAATATTGGAAGTTTAATCTTACACTGCTGTCCGCTCCAGTCCAAAAAACCTAGGAAAAGTTCTACCTTTTTGAAGGTTACCACTGTAGAAAAAAATAACAACTTTATAACTGTCTCTCTAATTGGAAAATTCTAATCAGTATAATCAGTAGAGAAAAAGATTCTTACTCAGTCACATCATATTCAACTACCTGCATAGTTCTTCATTCAAAAGAATGCTTTTTAAACTGTAATTCCTTTAAGTAGCAAGAAACAAACTGTGTTGTTGGTTCCTGATTACAAACTTTGGAAAAGTCTTTCAAAAGCAGCTCAGCACTTCAGTGAATGTCCTACTTAATGTGTAAAGCATTAAGGATTCAGCTTCTTGTGCCTTGAAGGGCATGAGTGAAATTCTGTGTTTGAAGTTGCAGGATCAAAGAAAAAAAAAAAAAAGATCATTGGCTTCAATTATGGGTTCTGTAGGTAAACTATAGGATTCTTTTGTATATATGTATGTATGAAGAATGTTATGCTGCCTACTGTGAGCTTTGCAATAATGCTTTTCAAAAGAAAGCCGTTAAGTGCTTTTAATTGCCTACATAGTTCTCACCAGCTTATGGAGAGCTTTGGGACCTAATTCTTATGTTCAGTATGTGATCAATACGAAGACTTACAATCTCTTACACATAAGGAAGCAATCATAAAAAGTTATTTAAGAGTTTAAATGTGCAGTGTGCAAGAGGTATCTTCACCTGTCCTGTGTTTAGGACAGTTTAGAAGAATATAATCTAGAAATGAGATAAAGATAGGACTGAGATTTCTGGGTATGTAAAAGGCATAAAAGGCTGTAGAAAAAGAGAGAATTATTTCAGTTTTTCCCTGGAATTTTGGTCATCTCTTTCCAGTCTTTAAATTATGTTGATAATCACTGTAGAAAGTTAGCAGGAGTGTACACTTGTGCTGAAAATGTGATGGCAGTTGATGTTTTACTTCCCGTAAACCTAGAGTTGAGTCTGTTAATTTGCAGCGAACGCTTCACTGCTGCGTGCTTGTTTCTTTTGATAGCATCTTGGTGCAGTTCCCCCTGAAAGTGGAGACTTCCATGAAATGGTGTGCCAAGCCTGCATGAATCACTGCCATTTCCTATGGGCTTATGCATCGCAATTAGCAGGTAAAGAAAATTAAGAGATCTGAGCCAATATTTTGTTAGCATGTATTTCTCATATGTGGTTGATTAATGACATAATACTGTTTTAAGTGGTTGGAGAAATGATACTCATTATATTGGACAGTCGCCTTCAGCAGTGGAACATGTGGGGCTGCAGTAAGTGTTGTTAAAAAAAAAAAATGCAGTTCTCATTCCTAAATCTTAATTCTGTGGTGCTCACTGTTTTATTTATTTTATCAAAGATGTGCTAGCACATAGATGGATGAAGATTTAATACTTGTCTCAAGGAACTTAATTTCTAAACTGGATCAAAGAACTGAAGAGCCATCCTAAGGGAAGCAGTGAGGCAAACAGCTGAGTATAAGAGGCTCTGAGCAGCGAAGAGTGAGTGATAGAGTGACCTGAAATGAATGTGTAAAACCTTATCTGAGTAGAACTGGGGCTGTGCTCAGGACATGTGTTCCCTGTGGTCATGCCAGGCCTCTGTCTGCTATGTGGTCTCTTTGGGATCGGAAGGGTAGATGACTTGATTTCTGTGGAAAGAGCTAGTTTCATGTACTCTCCTAAATGTTGCTTACACCAGCTGGTGATTGATCGCTTATGTGCCAGAAATTTCAATGGTGATTTTAAGGATTCCAAGCTGGCCTACCTGGAGTTCTCTTCCTTCTAATGCAAATACAGTACATAATGGGGTTTTTTGTTTGTTTTTGGTTTTCCTTCTTCTAACTAGCTATGTCACAGGGCACACATTTGAATTGACATCAAAAGAAAAACTTGCTTTAAATAAGGAAGTGGTTAGTGTAGTTAATCTGACATGGAGTTTTTGGGGTGTGTGTGTCTGGAGAAAATGAAGGACTCTGACACCAAGTCAGCAAAAAAGTACGCGACAGCTATTGAACCTGCAATAGCTATCAAGGGGTGTCAAGAAGGACAAGCATCTTAGTACAGAACTATCTCAAATTGTGATACCCTTTACCCTCTCCTAAGGCTTAGATTTTGGGAAGCAGAGTATTTTAGAATTAGGAGTATGGTAGGTGAAGAAGACTATGGTGAAGGAGGGAGCCATTTCTCTGTATACCTAGGTCACTGTGTCTTTGGACAGCTGTAGAGTATATCCAGGACCCTGCAGTGTATAAAGTGATCTAGATGCTCTTTGGGACTGCATTATAAAGCAGAGAGAACGTCTGTGGTAGCCTGCACATTGTCTAGTACAGAATTTTCATTTACAAGGGTATGTATCTTCCAGTTCCTGCTTTGACCAAAGTGAACTCCCTTGAAGATGAAGGGATTGTCCTGAAGGTTGAGGAAAGTGAAGAGCAGAAAAAAGAAATAAAAAAAGAAAGTGAAGTGGAACACCAAGAAACGAAGGAGGAAAAGCAAGTGGAACAGTTTAATGAACCATCCACTAGCTCTGGGTCTGCCTGTCTGGAGGTAAAATGTACCTTCTTTTCTGTCCTGTACATCTTCATGCTGATGATAGGTGAAGTAAAGCCCACCTCTTTCTGTATAGGTTCACTGAAGAGGTAAATGCTTTCAGTCTGTTTTTGTGTTCAGTCACTGACACCGCAAATGCGCGGTCTCTGTGGAGTACAGCGTAGGCTGTGGAACACGCTTGCAGAAGTGGGTGACAAGGGTGTAATGTCTGTTTGTGGATAGGTTAGATCCATCCCTTCTTGTCAGCCAGCTGGCCTTTACATTGAGGCAAATTCTGAGTTTTTTCTAATAGAGGAGTATTATGCATTGTAGCTGCATTTGCATGATAGTCGAGCTCTGATGTCTTAAACATTTATGGCTATTGCAGTAAATTTCTACAGAAATTTCCAGTGGAAACTGCTAAAACCACGTCAGAATCCGGATGTGGATGTAATGGTAATATAGGTTGTTTATAAAAATAAATGTGTCTGAGACAAAAGAAAAATCTTGCGTAAGGAAAATGACATGCTGGAAAGAACAGAGTGTATTTGATGTTATAGAGCACTGAACACTCTCATTTTAATTCAGGTGGTTACTAAGAGTGAGGAGCCAGTCTGCAAGCTGAAGGAACTCCAAAGCAAGGAATTTTTAAAAAAGGACACCGCCACCTTTTGGCCATCGAACTGGAGAAGTAAATTATGCACCTGTGAAGACTGTTTGGTATGTATTCTCTCTTCATCACCATCCTTGACATGGGGGAGGCAGGGAGGAGCTCCCAGAGAATCTCTGAAGAGAAGCTTGTAGATAAAATCTATGTAAACGTTCTTACTTTGCATATAAACACCTAAAAACCCCTTCCACCCCACATAAAGAAACACACTGAATCCTTTGGAATTAATACAGCACGAAGGAGCTTCTAAACATTTGTATTTTCTTTGCTGCTTAAATCCAGTATTGCTTTGGAAGTCGTTATGGGGAGATGCTTGAAATGCTGGATACAAAATGTACATTATTATTTTTATTGTTACTATTTGCGATACACAAAAAGGATTGGGGAAGAGCATCTCCACCTGAGAAGTTTTGTAACGTGACAGTAAATTTTACTTTATTCTCCAGAAAATGTATTCAGAGCTTGAAGTCCAGTTCCTGACAGATGAATGTGACACTGTCTTGGCTTACGAAAATAAAGGTACCAGTGACCAAGACACAGAGCGGAGAGATCCTTTAATGGACACCCTTAACAGCATGAACAGAGTCCAGCAAGTAGAACTCATCTGTGGTAAATACAACTTCATTTTTAGAATCTACCTTAACACTTTAAGTGAACAGTTTCCAATAAGAGATTAGTATCGGGTCTTGCAGTGTGGTGTCAAACTATTTTTGAAGTAACATGTAGAAGACTGTATGACAGATTGCACACCCACCTCAATCAGGATTACTCTAGAGAAGTTTGTCCTCTCTGGCCTGTTACAGCTTTAACTTACATCGAGGAACTACATGGTGTGGGAACATTTCCTCTATTTAACATCTTAGATATTGTATTGATGGTAATTTTTTGTAACGTGAATATTTAAATGTTAATTTACACTTCTGCTGTCTGGCTTATTTATCTTACCCTGTTCTGTTGTTTTGGTAATCTCCTGTTGTCTGGGCGAGTGCCAGTCTGTGTGAAGCGGGGGTGCAGGGTGCTCCCTGGCAGCTTTGCCGCAGAGTATATTGACAAGGCAGTAGGGTATTTTGAGGTATTTTGTAACTGGAGCCGTGTTTCCCCCTTCTGAGTGAGGGGTTTGTGCTCTGGTGAGGACACTTGCCCAATCTTGAGTTCCAGGCTAGGACTTCCCAGAATGACCCATGCGTGCTTTTGCAGTGGGAAGCTGGGAGCAGGGGAGCAATTCACTGACTGAACTTCTATATGTTTCTCTGAAGATTAACCTGAACGGATAATCAGACTGTGTAGGCTAGTCTGATAAATTACTAGGCTTCTCATGTTTACCTGGACTTGCCTTTCTTTTTATTATTATTATTTATAATACAGTTCAAACCTAGATTTGTCTCAAGTAAATCTAACGAATGACAAGAGGAAGTAGAACAAGTTGTCTTCTTGAGCCAGTGTTGTGTTAAACTAAAGCTGGGTACCTTCTTGGTTTTTTTGTTTTCTTTCCCTTGCCTTTGCTTCTCCATCCAGAATACAATGATTTAAAGACAGAACTGACGGACTATCTCAGGAGATTTGCAGATGAGGGAACGGTAAGGCACAACTCACAGAATTTGTTTGCCAGAAAGCGTGTTTTAAAGTACTGTTTAGGGATGGGTGTTGAATACTGTGATGCTATCGATGTTACAATATTTTTTTTCCTGTCTCCTGGGGTTGTTGGCACTGCAGTAGAAATTAAAAATCCCTGATTTCATTGCAATTTAAGTTTTATTTCCTTAATGACATTGCTGAGAGATAACAGGAACCTTACAGAAATCTGTCTATAAAGTACTGAGAGCAGTTCTGAAATTTAAATGAAACTTCTGTTGGTCTAGGAAAAGCATTCAGGAAAAAAGCTCTTAACCTTTTTTTTTTTCTTAGATTGAATTTAAACCCTTAGAAGAATAAGGACTGACTAAATATTGGCAAACAGTCTTGTCAGTTGTTTTTCTGGAGGAATTTTCATGCTATTATTAATCCACACAAGCATTTTGTTGGCTTATTTGCTAAATTGCCATTCTTAGTTACATTGTAATGAGTGAAGTGAGCTAGTGAAAATCTTGCTTTGTGTTAATTTTTCTGATGATAAAAGCAAGTGGTCAAACCCATTAAAAATACCATCAGGAGTTTTGCTCCATGTGCTTGTTCTACCTTTGGGGAGCTCGTTTCTGTGTTTGTATTCTCATTATAAGAGAATTTGGGCATTAATCATCTCTTGGGTACAACAGGAAAACTGTTTTGTAAGCTGTGTCAGAGAGATTTCAGGATACATGCTTTTATATGCCTTGTGTATTACATGTGGGATGCATGCAAGAAAAAAAAAAAAAGGATCGTTTAATTGAATTCTTGTACCACAACTTGGGTTTCATGTTGCTTCCCCTAGGTGGTTAAAAGAGAAGACATTCAGCACTTCTTTGAGGAATTTCAGTCACGGAAAAGACGACGGACTAACAGGATGCAGTACTACTGTAGTTAGACTGAGAGGGTCTGGGTCTGAAAGGAAAACTGGGAAAACAATACTCATTGGCAACCAGAAGAGGCATCTTCAGTGTTCGGCTTCTCATCAAAATCCAACTGTCCCAAGAAACATCTTCATTTTGTCTCATACTTCCTTTACTTGTAGCGACTAAAACATGTTCTTAACAGGTACATTGCATTTATAGGGATTTCAGTACTGATCGACTTTGCATTCCACTCCTGAAAGCTGGCCGTGTCTCCAGGGGGAGGATGGCTTGTTCCAAGAACAGTGTGTGCCACATGTATTCCCTTTAGCCTTTCACCTGTTCTACTGTTAGTGCCTACAGCTGTACGCTGCACTAAAACCCGGGTGGGGTCTGCCTGCCCTCCCCTCTGTGCAGTGCAGGCAACACACACTCAGGGCGCTTTGCAGGGCGGGAGTGCGTTGCTTTCCTGCTTTAAATGGCTGTGTATCATCTCTTCGGGGTGCAGCAATTCTAGCAAAGGCTGCCTGCACAAAGCGAGTGTCTGTTTACGACATGGAGGGAGGCAAAGCTCCTGAAAGGGGTAAAGCAGGCATGCCTTATGGTCATGGCTGTTGGGTGAAGTTGCATTCTGGCATTTGGGTCACATCAGCTGAAGTAAACAGCACTGCACTTCCGCATGCTCGCTCCCCACTGTGGAGGCGCTCCCTAGGCAGGTGAAAAATGAGAAACTGTAGGTTAGGCTTGATGCACCAGAATGTTCTGTTTTTATAAATTCAAAAACTTTGTTTCTAATATTGTACAGTGATGTTTTACACACAAAAATTTGTCACATGAACTTTATCCACTCACTAGAATATAAACAATATCCAGGAGGAGGTACTAAATTACAAATTAAGCATCAGAGGCGGGTTTGTTATAGGACTTCTAATGCGCTTTGATTTTAAAAACTAGCCTACTGCAAATTATTCTAGTTCCTAAATGTTCCTGAAAACACTGCAGCATCCTGGAATTTTGCTGCAGTATAAAACGTGATCTTTTTTATAACCACTGTGATAATCATGGAACAGGAGCTGTTCTGCTGACTTTTAAGAATCTACACTTAGCTACAATTAAATACTGACTTTTCATAAGTTTGGAGCCTAATGTAGTTTTTAGTTCTCTTTACCCACAAACCCCAAAACATGCTTTAAGAAGGTTCTAATTTTAACTCCTGCTTTACGTAGTTGGAGAATTTCTTTACCAGGGGGTACTATTCTGCTTCCATGATGACTTTTGAGAAGAAAATCAGCCCTTTTATCTATCATTCTCCCTATTAATTGTTTCTGACCACGTTATTTACAAAAGCTAGTTCTAGCATAGAGGCTCAGTTCATCAGTTTGTTTCATGCGAAATGACTAGTTGCTTTTAAATTTAACTCTGGGTATTGTATGTGCTTTTTTTGTAGCAACTGTTATGGGAGTTGTAACTGCATATCTAACTACACTATCTATCTAAAAATTAAATAACTGTTCAATCAGTACTCTCTTGTTTTTTTGAAGTGCTGCTGCAGTGTTTTGTTTCCATCCACGCTCCAGACAAACACAGGGCAGCACAGCAATGGCCTGTTGGCCGGGGGGCCAAGGTACATCTCAGGGGCCAAGCCAAGCCTGGTATTCCTGGACCTTTGCCTCCGCCCTGACCCACAACGTTGCAGGCAGGTGTGGAACAAGGGCTGGCATCTCACTTGCAAGTACAGTTTTGAGCTGGAAAAAAAAGAATGGGATGATGTTTCATCTGTATTGCAGTTCTTGGCATGTAATTCACTAAAGGGGAGAAGGTGCCCAGAGGCAAGTACTGTCCTGGGTTCCAGCTCTGAGCTCCGATCACCAGAACCCCAGGTTTTCCAAGTTGTGGTGTCCTCCCCCAGTGTATGAAAAAGTAAAAAAGCAGAAACAGGTACCAGGGTGCAAGTCAGTACTACAGCAAGGCCCAGTCCCACCACTTGCTGTGCTCAGGAAATGACAGCAATGCTGTCTAGAGAGAGATCAGTTGCAGGAAGTTTTTTGAACCAGGTACATAATTTCCACAGAAAGGAGTTAATACAGCTACACTTGCACACCACAGGGTCAGCACTGATGATGTGCATTGTCCATTCTTGGCATCAGCCTGTACTACCGTCACAGAGCAGGGTTTACCTGAAGTGGGCCCAGCCCCTAACTATCACCTCCCCCACCTTCTTTAACACAGTTTTGCTTTCTTCCTGAAGGCTCCCCCCGAGGGAAGAGGCAGAGTTAGCAGACTTAGAAGAACGCTGTTGCAAAACGCACAGAAAGCCTGTAACAATACATGTTAAATTTGTCTAGTTTAGGAAGTTGCTCCTAGAACTCAACTTCCTGGATGTAGGAATGAAGGTGTCAATAATTAACAGTTAAGACCACACAGTACTCTCACTCCCCACCCCCACTTTATGTCAGGACATAACCCACAGTTATGTTGCTGTTGTACATCAAAGTGAGACTAGTCAAGGTTTTCTGCTGCTGGATGACACACTTCTAGACTTGAGTCATCTCTCTGAAGTAGTGAAGCAGTTGTTTCTGTGAAAGAGATGTCATGAATATTCAGCTGATGCAGGATAACTGCAACTCCATAAGAGAATGGTGGGTACTTAACGAGCAGCTCTGCTGAGAAAATACACACTTCCTAGATCAAGGGCTAAGTCCCACTGCCTCCACTACAAGTAATCCTATTGCCTTCAACAGTGAATAGTCTCAGTCAATTAAGCTCCAGCCAGAAGAACTCACTGAACTACTTCAGTGAAGTGCTCTTCCTTTTTCATGAGCTGCTTGAACAGTGCCACTAGTTTTGAAGTCCTCTTACACTGGTTTGTATCATATCCTTGAAGTTCAAGGCATTATTGTGCATTTTTCTCTCCAGAAGGAACAACAAACCTTGTCAGTTTTAAGAGCCTTTACTGTCCGCATCAAACCACTCCTTTCCCCTCGGCCATCGGTCATTGCAAGTTTGGAATGATGACAACACCACAGTTGCTTTAGCCTGTGTGTCAGCTGGCAGCACTGCAGCAGCCTGCAGGTAACAGTTAATTGGAAGAAGTCGCACAAGCATGTTCTATACAAGCCATTTATTTGAAATGCCAACTATACGTAGGATAAAGTCAGTGTTACATGCTTCTCAGCAACAGTAGAAAAATAGAACCAGTGAAAACCTTTTTACAACTGTAATGGTACTCAAAAGAGAAATGTATTGTTTTACAATGCATCACACAAGACTAGAATTCAAGTTTGGAGGTACCTAAATAAAAATACTATTTTTTTTTTTTAAAAAACACTATGTACAGTTGAAGCGTAAACAAGTTTTACAAAGTACTGGTTATGCAGGTTGTAGAAAAAACACTTGCATAGGACATGAAGTCAGTTTAAGAAAGTTTTCTGAGCCTTTAGCATTGAAGGCACTTGACTTTATACCAGTAACAATACAAGGACAAGAAACAAAACCGTAACGTTGCCGAAGGCAGGGCAACCTTCTGGCGGTACAGATAATTACAGAAACCCCAAATATGGTTTTAAATTTTCTCTCTCAGCTGTTCCCTGCGTTCAGCAGAGCTCAGCACCACCTCTACCACAGAAGCATATAATTATTAGCAGAAAGAACAGTGCCTCAAACAGCGTAAGTATTCTTTCCAAAAAAACCCAACCAATTAAAAAAATAAGAAACCCCCCAAAACCCCCACCAAACCCAAACCAAAGAAACCCATAAGACAAACATTTGGGACATTCCAGGACCAAAAACCAAGGGTTACAAGTACAGGTGGCCACAGCCTTAACTTTCAGAAGTGAAACTCCTCAAGAACAGGAAAAATACAAGAAACTGCCTATCAACACAGCAGTTATTAATACACAACTACAGTAACTCCGTGGAACAACAAAACATTTCAAAGGAAGAATCTGTTTTAGGAATTAAGTTCTTCATCCACATGTTAAGGAAAAGTGGAGGGGGTTAGGGAAAGGGGAATAAGAAGTTTTTGCATGTTGCTCACTAAACGAAAGTCTGAGCTCTCTCTTTAATAGAGCAAGGAGCACGAGTCTTCCTCATTCAAGAAAACTTAATGTTCATACTTCTATCCTCAAGCAAAATATAGTCAGTAATCTGTTATCTCCATCAAATTTACAGGAGGAAAAGGTGTTAATTTCCAGCCTAATCAGAAAGTGCTTCATGTAAACAATGAGCTTCTGCACCAAAGTTTCAGTAGACAGAGAAAAACACGAAGTAGCAGGTAGCACAGGTAGGTGTATTCTGCGAGCGCGATGTAGTATGAACACTAGCTTCTGAATAATGCTTCCATGAAGAATAAAGATGGTCTCTCTCCCCTCCCTCTGCACATCCAACTTAGTAGAAAATCCTACGCTGGAGTACAAAAATACAGTTCCAGTAATTTGACAAATCCTTCTTTTCCACTTTGAATCAGCTGCTGTTAGCTGCTATCTTCTTCCCAACTCAAAATACACAAGTGAAAACGCAGATTGTCTACATGGCCTGATTGTCTTTGTGGCCTCAGAAGGACTTGTCTTTTATCTTGCACCTACTTTTAAACACTTTATTCTTTTTAATACTGCTCAGCTTCTGAGACTTCAGAAGCAGTTTTGTATTCTAAAATGCAGACATGTCCCCTCCAGAGGCATTTCTCACTAGCTTATTCCAAAGCCAAAGCATTTCATGAGTTCCCTCAAGCCATAACCTCAAAACTTCTCAGTCTTCATCAGCCACGTCCCCACAAATTTCAAGCTTAAAAGTTATATCTGTAGATTTCAGCCCCACCTCTGTCTAGGCACACAGTGCCACATCAAACTATGGTAACTAAAATAGTTTTCTCAAAGTACATCTATCAATTTAAGGTAAAAATAAATTCTTCAGAATACTAAGTCTTCTGAAGACAGCTATGACTTTTTAGTAACTAAGCTATCAACATACATATGATGCAACTGCAGGGAGTTCCAGGGTTTCTGTGTGTGATGAAAGTTAATGTTTCTAGCGCTGGTGAGCATGAGACCCAAGTGTCTGGTTAGAGCTATGCAGTCAGACAGCACTGTGCCCAAATCTGCAGAGGAAACCCAGTGAACCTCAGTCCTTAACCAGCAGCAGCACCGTCCCCCCACTGACACCTCCTTGCATTTAACAATGTTCTACACTGCAGTCCCATGGAAATGCTACATATTGGTGATGAGGCCAGGACCACCAATTGTCTTGACTGTGGTCAAAAAAACAGACTAAAAAGGCTGACAGAGGAAAAAAACCCAAACACCTCCCCTCACCCACAAGACATATCACCTGCACAGTTTAGCTAAGTTTCTCCTCCAATCCTACACCATGCCTTCCATGGCTGCATCTCAAAAGGAATGTCTGCAGAGCTTTCACAGAAGCAGGAGGCCTATAGATGTGTATGCAGGAGACATGAGGATTTATTGGTTCAAACACCTATATCTTCATTTATGTAGAAGCTATTTGGTAGTTTGGAAATGCAGTATTCAATATATTTCAATAACATTGTGGTGGTGTTACCAGGCCTTGCATACTTTAATGAAGCAGGTTAGGTAAGAATCTGCCATCAACTAAAACTAAAAGTAAAGTTGCAGCAAGATACCTGTTTAAATAGTATTAAGCATTTTGAACTGCAGGAAACAACTCAACCTAACCTTAAAGTAGTCCTTAGGTCACACTTGGGACTAAAGTTTCCTACTACAGGGAGATTCTTCATTACAGAAACTGCATTTAAAAAACCCAAACAGGCCTTCACCGGTAATCACTATACTGCAGTAGCATCAGATCCCTATCCTAAATACAATGAATCTGTGGTA